TGTTTGCAAAGGAGGAGAAGGGGGATCATATGTCTCTTAATACAACGTGGACAAAATGAGGACTGAACATCAGCAGAACGAGGACAGACAGAGAGCGTCGTTAGCACATCGCCAGAAAATGAATATGAATGAAGCAAATGTGGACTGAATGAGGACAGACAGAACATTAAGGGTGTTTTCACAATAAGCACAATTGTTTCATAACATGCCGAGTAAGATTACTCCCCCCAGCCCTCTCCCCCGCTGGACTGCGTTCAATTAGTAACATCGTTCATACCCGAGTACACTTGCCTCTCAGAACGGTGATCCACCTGGTTCATGTCGTTGGGAGACACGCGGAACTCGCTGATCCGGATCCGTTCGTCGAACCGCGATCCACAGAGTAATACACGTACAGCTTCCGTTGAATTTGTGCTTTGGGTGGAAGGTGAGTCCGAGGAATCCTCTCTCGTCTCCCTCCCAGGACGACGTCAGGACCGCCTTCGTGATGTTCATAAACGGGTTTCTCCAGTCTGGACCGATCCGGCAGGTAAGTCCACACCAGGCCGACCTGCTCGGCCACAAAGAAGCGGTGCGTGCCGTCGTTGGCGTGCACCATGGCGAGGGGGTTCTTCAGCCCGTTGGCGACTTCCTCCAGACAGAGTTGAAGACAGCCATCAGAGTCGGACTGGACCCGGCCCAGGTTCTGGGTCAGTCTGTCGTTACTGAGGAGGTGAGGGTAGCAGTAGTCCGGATCGTCCAGCTCTAGGTGTCGACAGAGACGCATCTCGTCGTCTTTGAAACGAGAGACGACCGGGTCGTCAGAGATCAGGGGGAGGGTGGAGCTGCACCCTTCCAGAACATGGAGCAGTAGTCCGGACAGAGTCCAGGGATTGTTCTGATCGGGGTGCTCGGTCCTCGGCGTCGAACAGGTGAGCTGCAAATGGAGAACACTCCTTCACAAAAAAAAGGAGAAGTGTCGATAAAGACGAAAGACGGATGAGGAGTGATGAAAACAAGAGGGAGAGTAGGAGAGACAGAGGTCAGGAGAAGAGAGGAGGGGAGTGATGAAGAAGAGACACAACCTCTTTATAGTTTGAAACATGAAACCTCCAAAAGTCTATAAATGATCTAAAACACTCTTGGAGTAAAGACCGGTGTACTTGTTGCCATGGTTACAGTGAAACTGGCAGTGAAGTGGTTAAAGACCTGAACAATCCTCACCTGCTTGTTTTCAAACAAATCTCCTTCACCTTCTTAATGATCAGATTGTGTGTGTGCGCGCGCGCGCGTGCGTGTGTGCGTGCATGCAGGGTCAGGTGTGGACCTTGGTCGACCTTTGCCCTCGTGCCTACCTGACAGAGCAGGTCCTGGACGTAGCTCGCGCAGGTCGCGTAGCCATGGTAGTCGAACTGATCCATGATGACGTAATACTTTCTCATCAGCTGCTGGTCTCTGTCGAAGTCACAGCAGCCGAAGTCTCGGTACATGACGCAAACGTCAGCTCTTGGAGCGGTCTGAACGGAGGTTTGAAGTCCAGACACTGCGGGTGGGACCGAACCGGACCGAACTCGTTACCAGACCCCCAGGATCCACATCAGACCCGCGGCAGGAACAGAACCCCGCTCCATGATGGCTGATCAGGAGCAGCTTCCTGTCTGCACTTTGACTCCGATCATCGGTCTGTCCTCTGACGTGATTCGCTCTGCCCCCCTGCACCGAGTCCTCCGTGCACCGAGTCCTCGGAAGACTCGGACCGTGTGCGGTCAGGACTGAGCGCTGCAGACCGGTACCATCTGTCCGGATCAGCTGCTGACCCGGTTAATCTGCTGTCAGAGAGAGAGAGACAGAGAGACAGAGAGAGAGGCTGCAGAGACAGACTGTGTGTGTGTGTGTGTGTGTGTGTGTGTGTAATGGTTCCCCTACTGTTTCTTCATAAACTCTGTTTTTCATTCAGTCTGATGGATTCCTTTCAGACAGCGCGGTGCATTGTGGGTATGCGGGCTCTTCAGTTATTGTAGTTTTTTGTATGAAACTGAAAACTTTTGCAACAAATCAATGTTGAGAAAACGTGTTTACTCCTACTGTCCGGCAGGTGGCGGCCTCAAAGTATTTGAGCCGCAGGATAGAACATAATAGGTTACCTGTGATAACTTGTTTTAGTCTCCATGGAGAGAGTGAGTTTTATATTCAAACTTTTATCGGTTTGTTTGTGTAACTTTGTGTGAACTTTAACTTTAAATTCAATAATTGTAAACTAAATAATGTGTCTTGTTGATGTAAAAACATAAATATGACATCATAATAAAGTCAGACATTAATGTCTGTGATTCAATCAGCAGCACAGGCAGAGAAAACTATTTTCAAAATAAGAGTCTTTTAGTTATTTCTCATGATAATTTAAATCAGTGTTTTAAAATTCAGGAGATGTAAACACACAAATCGATCCTCGCTGGAACCAGTCGGGCGTCAGTGCTGTCTGTGAGTTCATACTGGGTCTGAATGTGTCCCAGTATGAAACCAACCAATGAGGGGATCTTTAAGTTACCTGGCTTCACCTGACAGATGAGATCACACTGGACTGTCACGTGAAGCCTGACAAGTTCACTCAGTTTCCCTGAGCGTGTTCACATAAGAGGGGGGCGGAGTTAGCTTCTTTCATAACCTACCATGATCATTAAACAAGTTTGCTGTCAGCCAGTGGCGATTCTAGAGTCTGTTAGGGCCCTAGACAAAAATAATTTGGAGGACCCTCCAACCAGCCAACGCTTTCTCCTCTTCCTCTTTTTTTCTCTCCTGATGTCTAATTCCTCTTCAGTTGTCTTCAGTGACTTTCATTGAAAAACTTTTCACAGCAATAGAGTGAGTGCTGTCACATGGGGCCCCTCAAAGGAGGTTTCCTACTATCTTTTTGCACATTTTGCACACCCCTACTGGCCCCAAGCCTGTTGACAAGCAGCGCCTCTGCTGTCAGCTGATTGTCATTTTAATGTCAAATGCAAACTGTAATAGAAAAGTTTGAAGAAGTTAAAGCTTATAATGAGTCTAAAATCAAACAGCTGCAGAGATCATAGTCCTACATAAGAACCCTAAAGTGAACTCAATAACTGAACATTCTCCTCAGGTGTGACTTCTTTATCAGGTTTATTATTTTACAGTAAAAAAGAAAAAAAAGTAAACATTAAAATCACTGCTCATGTGTTCACATCAAGATCAATACAGACGGTTTCTGTTCAAACCAACATCTTCACCTCCTTTAAATTAAGATGTATGCCATTATAGAGCAGTTTAAAACCATAAGAAACAAAGTTAAAACAGGGTAATAACATTGTAAACCAGTTTAACAATAAAATAAACCTAATTCGAAACCATAATAAACCAGTTTAACTGACGTAAACTAGTTAAAGGTGCTGTTGGACACCAAATAAAACAGTTTCAACTAGACAATGAAATTACCTGTTTTAACCAACATAGCATTATAAACCAGTTTTTACCAATTTGAACCGGTCATATCATAATTAACCAGTTTGAACCAGTTTAAAACCATGAAATAACCAACTTCAACCAGTTTGGTACCATAATCAACCAGTTTAAAACACGTTTAAATCAGTTAGACACAATGAAATAACCTGTTTTAACCTGCGTAGCGTAATAAACCAGTTTGAACACTGTAATAAACCAGTTTGAACCAGTTTAAAACAACATAATAAAACACTTTTAATTCGTTTTGTACCCCAATGGACCAGTTTCAACCAGTTCTAACCAGTTTAGTTCTATAGATTATGTGTGAAAACAGAAACCAGAGTGGACGGATTTAGAACTTTAAAAAGATGAGAAATGTTGATTTTATACAGATTTTATAGCAAACAGCTAAAACATAAACAATGGAGTTTATATTTAGAGACTGATTTACTGATTGGATACCGTAATTGATGCATGATGGGTTACTGATCTCTGATTAGACAATGGATCTCTGGATTTATGATTGACTATTGAATTACTAAATCTTGATTGGACTGTAATGTATTATTGATCTGAGATTGGATTATTGATCTGAGATTGGATTATTGATCCGTGATTGGATTATTGATCCGTGATTGGATTATTGATCCGTGATTGGATATATCTGATCCGAGGTCAATGTTACTTGTTGAGTCCTCATGGTTCTCATCTCATCCAGGTCCTGTGGTTCTGTCCACCGGGTGGCAGCATCCCGGGTGGCATAGGAGGGGGCAGCTGATGTTGTCCCGTGTTAGGAGGAGGGTGGTACACCCCGCTCAGACTAGGAGGTAGCCCCATGACGAGGGGGGCGACCCAGCAGGTAGCTGTAGACTGACAGAGGAGGGGCGTTGTAGGTGGTGGTGCCCGGGGGGTAGTGGTGATAGTTCATGGGTGGTGCACAGGCCTGAGGTATTGAGGTGTTCATCATGGACTGGATGGTCTGGTAACCCTCACTGGACAGCAGAGAGCTGGAGGGAGGGGGCAGGTCTTTAGGAGGGGGAGGGGGCGGAGGGGGGCAGTGGGGTAAAGGAGGGGGTGGTGGCTTAGAGGGTGGCTCAGGGGCTGGAGGGTAGGAGGAGGGGGGTTTAAGATCTGTCAGAGAGAAAAAGGGAGGTCACTCAAACACGAGAAAGAGAGAGAACTAACTTTAGCTCTGAGTCAGTTACTATGGTAACCGAGTCTGTGAACCTAACCTGGTCGGGGAGCAGGTTTTCTTCAATGAACCCCAAGTTTATTCCCCGTCTCTGCCCACTTTCAGAGCCAACTGTTTCATTTCCTCATTCTTTCATGCAGTTTGTATCACAAGTGTGTTAGTGAAAATTCACCGTCGTTTTAATATTATCTGGGAGGCATACAATAATACGTCTGATTAATTAGCCCATTGAATAAATAGAGTAGCCTCCATTCAAGCTAACATGCTGACTCGAACAGCAGCCCTTTGGTTCTGCAGCAGCGTTACTTTCATTTCTCTAAAAAACCTGTTCATATTCACCGTATATCTGCATGAAGATGTACAGTTCAAGAGTGGAAAAGTGTGAGGAGCTCCGTTTTTTGTTACCTGTTGCCATGGTGATAGTAGTATCACGGTTCTATTAATGTTGGCTTTTTATAGTCGTGGTGTAGGCGCTGAACTCTGAGTGAACCGACTCAAATCAGCTGCTCTGGAACCGTTAACTCAGAGTTTGCCACCTTAGAGCTCAGAGTCGGACCGAGAGTTTGTGAAACGTGAGGAGACACTCACCTGTGTTCATAGATACAGGAGGAGGAGGTGGAGGTGGAGGAGGCGGAGGCGGCAGCTCTGGATTAGTGAGCTCTGTAAAACAAAAGCCCTGTATTGAAATGTGTGTGTTTGGAGATCACAGACATGTTCTTGTGAAGTCTTCAGTGTGTTCCTATGTTTGTTATGTTGAGCAGAATGTTGAACTCACTGATGACTTTGTTGTCTTCTTTGGGAGACGGCTGAAAATTAAACACAAATAATAACATTCAGAATTTAAACTATGTAATACATAAACTACAGAGACTCTATATGAGACACATAATAACAGGGACATGACTGTATCTAACATATATAATGGTCATATCCTGTTTGCATGTCTGAACCCAAACGGCCAAATTATTCACTCTGACTCGAACTTTCTCCTGCCAGCTCACACTGGCAATCCATCCCGTGCCTAAGCACACTTCACTCCTAAGTCTTAAGACGTAATGACGACTGAGCTTGGTTACGGCGCTGGTGCAGAGTTGTACTGTGAAAAAGGAAACAGTCAACCCAGCTGTGGGTCAAAGAGAGGTCGGCTCACCTGTGCTGGTCGGGGGGGTCGAGGGCTGGTCTGAGGGGAAGTCTTCTTGGTGGGGGGAGGGACTGGGGGGGACAGGATGGAGGGGGGGAGGGGGGTGTCTCCAGCACTCATCCCTCCATCAGGAATCTGCTGCTTGGCCTGAGAGTACAAATCAAGGATCTGATGGCAGATATCTGAACGGAGGAGGAGAAGGGAGAGTTAGGTCAATTTAGATTCTGCTGTATGATATCAAATCAGATTAATAATCAGGGCTCGGCTGTTCATAAGGTTTCATTTACACTTTTACACGACACAAACTGGAGGTGTTCTCTAGATAGAAAACAGGAACCTAATCTTAATTGTTTCTTCCTATCCGATAGCTTTAACCCTGTTGGATTTGTTTCGAACAACCGGGGCCGCGCTGCATGATCAGGGTTGTTCTGATACCTTCTAGAACCTCCACAGGTACGTCGTGGACAAACTGCTCCCACCAGCGGCGGTTCGTCTGTTTGGAGGTCCATTCCTGGAGGTCGAATTTAGAGAGACGACCTGCCAGGTACATGACGGCTACAGCGATAATCTGAGGCTCCCACTGCAGGGCCACCATGGTGTACAGACTGTAAGAGATTACTTCCATTATTATTATTGTGGTTTTTCGCTGTAGGGAGGTAAATCTGCTGGATACTGTCACCAATCCTTAAATCATATTTCAGACATGAAACAGGTCTCATCCCAGGTGTGTATTCTCACCTGTCATTGACGAAGGTCCAGGCCATCTGAACCAGTTTCTGCACCTTGTTCTTATCACCTGTGAGACAGAAAATGTTTCAGGGTTGGCTCAGTGCTCTGAAGCTCTGGTATGGATTAATACTGATAGAAATGTAGGAACCTTTGAGCTGCTTGGCATAGCGCAGCAGGAACTGGTATGGATGCTCCACCTGCAGGTCAAACTTGATGGTCTGCAGCAGAATGCGCTCCAACACCATCACCTCCTCCTGTGACACACACACACACACACACACTCTACATTTACAACCCCAAATTCTAGAAAGGTTTTCTCCAGCAACATGGACAGCACAGACAGCACAAGTCAAACTCTGATACAGACCTTTGGATCGTCTCCAAACTGAGCGAACTGGACATCGTTGAGCAAACCGCGTGCCGTCTTTATGATGTCTTTGCACTTCTTTGGAGTCTCCTCCACTTTACCTGCCAGGAAGAGGCAGCATCCTCCTGTTACCTGCAGACACAGCTCAGGATTTAAAATGACAACAACCTCCAGACACAGCTCAGGGTTTAAAATGACAACAACCTGCAGACACAGCTCAGGGTTTAAAATGACAACAACCTGCAGACACAGCTCAGGGTTTAAGACAACAATCTGCAGACACATCTCAAGGTTAAACACATGACCTGCAGACACAGCTCAGGGTTAAACACATGACCTGCAGACACAGCTCAGGGTTAAAAACATGACCTGCAGACACAGCTCAGGGTTAAACACATGACCTGCAGACACAGCTCAGGGTTAAACACATGACCTGCAGACACAGCTCAGGGTTAAACACATGACCTGCAGACACAGTTCAGGGTTAAAAACATGATCTGCAGACACAGCTCAAGGTTAAACACATGACCTGCAGACACAGCTCAGGGTTAAACACATGACCTGCAGACACAGCTCAGGGTTTAAAAGCCAAAAATCTGCAGACACAGCTCAGGGTTAAACACATGACCTGCAGACACAGCTCAGGGTTAAACACATGACCTGCAGACACAGCTCAGGGTTTAAAAGCCAACAACCTGCAGACACAGCTCAGGGTTCCATGCAGGTTTTTAAGATACATGAATGCAACTTTAAGCCAAAGGAAATTTCAGTTTCAATTTCAGCCAAAGGAAGTGTCAGTATTTGCCAATCTATGAATTCAACTCCATGCTCTCACTTTTGTTCTTGGTTCTTCTTAGTTTAAAAATATGACTGAAACATCTGTATGTTCTTATCTAAGTGAGACACACACAAGAGATCTTCATACTCACATATCTGGGGAACTGTTTGAAGGAGTGAAACATGTAGAAACGATGGAAGTAAACGATGCCTGTAGCCAGAGTGTCATAGTGTCTGCAGCCGCTCAGGTTAAGATCAATGACATGAGAGGTGAACAGGGTTGTTCACCATAGCAACATGTTAAACTTTGATTTGATAGTTAAAATATAATGATATCAACAACAAAACTAGAAGTCCTGGAGGGAACACAATGTGGTGTCATTTCTTACCCTATGATACCTCACCTTCACCTGTGTTCACCTTCACCTGTGTTCACCTTCACCTGTGTTCACCTTCACCTGTCAGTGTGTGCAAACCTTTCACGATATAAGCATTATATTATAACTAAATCTTAACTTAATTATATATATTTTGTATTTAAATCATTATATTAAAAATCTTTAAGGATACAGGCCGAGTCTAGTCCCCGCGTCGAAGATGAACCGGGCCCCCTCTCGGCGGTACCGGGCCTCGGTGGCGGGATCCAGACCCTCAGCCTGGGACGGAGTGTGGACCAGGTCCTTCTTGTCCCAGTACCAGCATGGTTTGATGTGGTCCAGGCCGGCCGGGTCCTTCCGGTCCCAGTACAGTAGGGGTCTGAGGAGCTCCAGGGTGTCCGGCACCGGTTCGTCCTGCGGGGGAGCAGGACCTGAAGCTAGAGGAGGATTCTGTAGTTCCGGCTTTAGGAAAACTACATTTACTTGCACCGACCAGCGATGCTAGCAGCTAACGTTGCTGATATACATAGAAAGTAAAGGTAAATAAAAACAGTTCGTTTAAATGATATGCTCCCACATGAAGCTGGAAGTATTGAACGTAATTTAAAACTGATTATTCTGAACTATTAAGACTTAAACATCCTGTAGTCACGCTGCTAGCTGTTCTCTCCACATTCATCCAAACAAAGAGCACCAAACACCGCCGCACACACATCGCATGATTGACTTTTACCTCATCCAATCACTGACGAGCGAACATTACCATATATGGTACTATTAAGCGTTCTAAAAGTAAATGTCCAATCACAAGCCGCGCGGGGATGGCTTGCTGTTTATGCTACATTCACGTGGTGTCGGATACTTCGGAAAAACGAAAGGTGTTTAGTTGTAAAATGCACAGAATCGTCTTCACGAGGGGCAAAATATGTTTTGTCAATGTTGACATACTTTTTATTAATACACGTATTGCACATAAACTTTTTGCTCAAATATATCTTTTAATAGAGACATTCACACGTTTTCTTCTTCTTAGCATCAACGCTGTTTGTTACTGTTGATACAACATTTAGACTTTAACTGAAATGACGTGAACACACTGATGTCGGAAGAACGACTTCCCAACTCGGAAACTTGGACCATCCGAGCAGCACCCGAATGCACCATTAACGCCATGCTCTTTGGGCGTGCTGCCCAGTAACCAATCAGAACGCAGGAATCCAGCACTTTGAATGTGGGTGTATCTCCTTTTGTCGTCCAATCAGAGGCCGTGCTGAGTCACGGTAGGTTTCAGCGTAGAAACAGAGAAGTGCTTCTGTCACTTATTAAGGTAAGTGTATTAAAACGGAGAAAAACGGGTTTATTATTCACTTTTAAAAAGTTCTCACCTGCTGAGTACTGTTATTCTGTGCTGATGTGCGCATGCGCTGTACACGCGGGTTCATGCTAGTAGCTAGTGAGCTAATTCAGCAGATTAGCTCCCTGATCCTTTACCACCTGACAGCTTAGCAGCTAGCAGCTAGCAGCTAACACCTAGCATGGGATCGTTCAGTGGAGATGAATGAGCTGGAGGGGCGTGTATCCTCACTGCTAGGAAGCTAATGCTAGCTGCTGGCCTACTGGGACAGGGTGCTGGTCACACGGGAGGCTAACTGGGAGCACTGGTTGTTGGTTTAGCATGTATCCAGGGTACCTATATTTAACCCTACAAAAAAACAAAACAACAAAACCTGAGTGATTGTAGAGTTCAGAGGGATAACACCCTGACTGACTGGACGTGTGTGATAAACTCACTGTAATTTACCTGTGGACAGGTGAAGGAAGAATGTTCCTGCAGGTCCAATCCTGAAGATTGACCTGTGTTTACTGTGGTCACTCAGGTGTGTCAGCTTCAGGAACACACAGTCAGATCCACTGCTGCTTCACACAGTGATAGATAATCATGTAAATATGGTCGACACATCACAGTGAAGCAGAGAAAGTTCTAACTCTGAGTGCAGTAAGTCATAATGTGATGAGAACAGAGCATGCAGACATCATCTGTTTAGTTTTCATCACTTCTTAATGCTGATGTGTCTGTATGGGGCAGTAGTAGCTCAGTCTGCAGGGACTTGGGTTGTGGATCCGGGGGCGTCGCCGGTGCAGAAATTGGTCTGATAGCTAGAGAGGGGCAAGTTCACTTCCTGAGCACTGCCGAGGTGCCCTTAAGCAAGGCACCGACCCTCACCGCCAGCTTACCCTTGCAGCCGCATCACTCTGACATCTCCACAGGATCCTGTGTGTGCATACATGATTCAGAGTGAGCTATAAAGCAACTTGTTTTAAAATATAGTGTGAGTATGGGACAAAAATGTTCAACTTCTGCAGTCAGCAAGCTCATCAACATCTTAACTGTAATAATTGTACAATTCAGCAGAGGCTTTTATCCAAAGCGGCATAAATCAGAGAATAAGAACAAGACAAGCGAGGATCCAGAGAGGAGGAGACAACATCAGGAAGTGCAAACAAACAGCTTTAAGTCTGATTGGACACACAGGTGCTGACAGGAAGTGACACGAGGCAGAGCACAACATCGACAGCTGTTCTTAAGAGTTCTAATCAGCATCAAAACCATCCTAAATATATCATCATCTTCATCATCATTAAGTGTGTAGGTGTTCATGAAAGACATCAAAAGGATAGGATATGTAGTCAGTGTGCTCGTGTCAAAGATGAAAACTGAGGACACTCATCATTTTATTTTAGTTAGTTTTTTAAGCACACAATACCTTGTTTTTATTTTAGTTTCAGTTAACGAAAATGTTTTTTTTTTTGATTGCATTAACGAGTATGAACCCTTAGAGGGGCCGATAAACCTGACAGCTTAGTGTTTAATACATCTTTATTTATCTTACTGTGTTGAATGTGCTCACAGGGCCGGTACTTATCCTCTGTTAGCTCGTTGTTGTTCCTCTCCTCAGTCTCAGTATGAGAACGTTTCAGGACATTTATGTTCAATGTTTTTAGAGCACAGCTGCTGCTGAGTGTCACCGAGCAGCTGTGAGACACAAACACACACTCAGAGACACACACACACACACACACACACACACACACACACACACACACACACACACACACACACACACACACACACACACACACACACACACTGTGTGTGTGTGTGTGTCAGCTGCTGCTGCAAAGGAAGCAGGGATTCATATTATCTGTGTTAAGTCCTGAAGGAGATTGAACTGTTGGTGTGAAGTGAACGTTGATACTTGGTCTATTTAAAGGTGTGTGTGTGTGTGTGTGTGTGTGTGTGTGTGTGTGTGTGTGTGTGTGTGTGTGTGTGTGTGTGTGTGTGTGTGTGTGTGTGTGTGTGTGTGTGTGTGTGTGTGTGTGTGTGTGTGTGTGTGTGTGTGTGTGTGTGTGTGTGTGTGTGTGTGTGTGTGTCGGTGTGTGTCGGTGTGTGTCGGTGTGTGTGTGTCGGTGTGAAGCCTCAGGCCTAACACTCAGACTTACTCTGCATAATGAACCCTGAGGCTGCTGTGAGCTACCAGATCAGACCTTAAACTGTGATAATGAAGGTTAGACTTTAAACTGGGATAATACCGGTGTAGGTACCACAGTGTTTCCCCTACCATTATATTAGGTGGGGCGCCTTCACCTGCGTTTGTATGATGATGTAGAACATTGTGACTGGCTGTCGAGAGATCAATGTCTCCTTATGAAAGAGCAAGAACTCAAACACACGGCGTCCAAACTGCATTAAATGTTACACGGTTGATCAGAGTCAATGTCTGAACATATTTACATTCCAATATTCAATGTTTGTAATGACTATCACTTTAAACAGTGGTGACGTGGAAAATAGCCGATCAGTGGTGGTCTTGATTTAAAATCTGGAGACCTCCCAATCTGAGACCGAGACAAGACCGAGTAAAAATGCTTTCGGTTCAGAGACAAACCGAGACCTATATTCTCAGATGACATGATACCAAACTCATGTTTAATGTTAATAAATCAACAGATGTTTATGTGACAAAGTGTCCAGATTCATCTATTAACAGTACTCTGATTTGTTTTCCAGCTTGTTGACAAAGAGCATCATGGGTAAAAAGAGTCGAGTCAAGACTCAGAAGTCTGGTTCAGGAGGAGCCAGCGCCGCCGTTTCTCCTAAAGAGATGATGAACCTGATCTCTGAGCTGCTGCAGAGTACGTACACCTGTACCCTCACACCTGAACCTGTGTATCTAAAGAAGATTCATGCAGTAGTCAGGTATTTGTTCATGTTGATTTAAAGTGCTACAGGTGTTTATGGTCTGCGTGTGTTTCCCAGAATGCAGCAGTGCAGCCTCCTCTGGTAAAGAGTGGGAGGAGTATGTCCAGATCCGAGGCCTGGTGGAGAAAATCCGCAAGAAACAGAAAGGTGAGAACAAGAAACTACTGAAGTGTTTTGATGAAAAGAGTATTTCTCTGAGCCGGTTCTTCTTACTATTATTGTGATAATTATTATTATAAATATGTTGTTCAGGCCTGTCGGTGGTGTTCGACGGCAGCAGAGAGGAGTATTTCTCAGACCTGATGGCGTGGGCTCAGGAGAACGGAGGACCCTCTGAAGGATTCTGTGTCTCAGACTTTGGATCAGAGGGGTACGGACTGAAGGCCACCAGAGACATCAAGGTCAGAGCAGTGATTTAAACCCTAACGTTCATCCATCTACAGAAACAAACAGGTCCACCCACCCAACCGAACTTAGCATGCACAGGGGGAACATGCAAACTCAAGTATGGAAAGTGTTCCAGTAGAGGATCTAACCTCAACACCATGCAGCCCCTTAATGTCCAGTTAAAATGCAAAGTTAACAAATGGTTAAAGCTGTAGTGCTCAGGTCTCTGTGGTGGCTCTTGGCTGCAGACTGTAACCTACACTGGGCTCATTAAATACCTAAATTGTCTAATACTTTTTTTCTGTGTGTGTGTTTAGGCAGAGGAGCTGTTCCTGTGGGTTCCCAGGAAGATGCTGATGACGGTGGAGTCTGCTCAGAACTCTGTGCTGGGTAAGAACATGTGATGAAGAGGAACGTTGGGATCTGTAGGGGAAATAGAGAAACAACCTAAAAATCATCAATGGTCATACTATCTGACATACTGTGACATGGTCTGAAGGTATAAACATTAAACTTGATCAGACTGTCAGACAGATCCTCATCCTCAGTCCTCAACGAACCTGGAGCATATACAAACTAACTCCTTTTCCTCTTCCTCCCCATCTCCTCTTCTCTCCCTGTTTCCTCTTCCTCTCTCTTTTCCACTTTCTCTGTCCCTGTCTCCTCCTTTTCCCTTCATGTCTTCTTCATCCTCTCTCGCCTCCTCCTACCTCCCTCCCTGTCTCCTCCGTTTCCCTCTGTATCTTCTTCTTCCTTCCTCGTCTCCTCCTCCTTCCTCCCTGTCTCCTCCTTTTCCCTCTGTGTCTTCTTCATCGTCCCTTGTCTCCTCCTCCCGGTTCCCTCCCTGTCTCCTCCTCTTCCCTCGGAATCTTCCTCATCCTCCTTCATCTTCTCCCTCGTTTCTTCCTCCCGGCTCCCTCCCTGTCTCCTCCTCTTCCCTTGGAATCTTCCTCATCCTCCTTCATCTTCTCCCTTGTTTCCTCCTCCCGGTTCCCTCCCTGTCTCCTCCTTGTCCCCTCAGGTCCTCTGCACAGTCAGGACAGGATCCTGCAGGCGATGGAGAACGTGACGTTGGCGTTCCACCTGCTTTGCGAGCGCGCTGACCCGTCTTCACCGTGGATGCCGTACATCCACAGTCTCCCTCAGGAGTACGACACACCGCTCTACTTTCAGCAGGAGGAGGTGCAGCTGCTGCTGGGAACTCAGGCCATCCAGGACGTCTTGAGCCAGTACAAGAACACCGCGAGACAATATGCGTACTTCTACAAACTGCTGCAGGTACGAACACACAAACAGTCGTGATGTCATACATGAGCCAGTTCCTCCTCTGCTGGTGCTGCCTCACCCGTCTGCTAACAAGGTGAAGCTGTAAGAACATTATCCTTCTCCTCTGTGCCTGTAGTACTGCACTATGTCCAGCATGGAGCAGCATTAAGTCAGACAGAGATGTTGGAATGATCCTGGTTTAGTTTGTGAAGAAGAGATCTGAGGTTTATTTAGGCTGAGGCTGATGGTCACTGATACTTAATTAATAAACTTTCGACCCTTTAAACACTCTGTTTGATAAAGTCATAAAACGATGTATCACAGCGATGCTCTGACTTTAATTATAAACTTCATGATTAATAAATGAACACATCCCAGTGATTCACATTGATATCAGCTCCGTGTTAATTAGTGAACTTGAAACGATCACAGACTGCCTCAGTGTAATGACACAGATAATGATGAAATGTGTCACAGACGGTCGATAGTAAGAATTATAATCTCATAATCTGCGGATATGATAATGAGTCAGTGTTGATGTCGAGCAGAGACGGGTAGCTTTGATCTCGCTCTGTAACATCACACACGCTCTGACAGAAACTGTATTTAGTTTGAGTTACATGATGTACAGCAGACTGTGTGACGACCTGCAGGGGAGGCTGATTCATTGATTGCAGGGTTTCAGGTAGAGTTATAGTACTCTATAAAACTTGTCTTGTCTCGGTCTCTCCTGGCCTTGGTCTCGGTTTTGATCCCTAAATGTCTTGGTCTTGTTTCAGTCTCGGAGCACTCTGGTCTCAGGTATGTCTTGGTTTCAGGTTCAGGTGTATTTATGAATAGAACTGTATGGCTGTTTTAGATCCGCTGCTACACTAGTCTTACATACTGATTCGGCCAAAATGCAGTTTACTTCCTCATTCAAAGACCAGAAACCAGTTTAGCTAGGCCGGGTATACTGCAACAAAGCAAACGACTGGAGGTCAGACTACAGAC